CTGTTGTTTGTTTTTGTCTTTTTGAGCTCTCTTGTTTGAACCAGCCATTTAATTTTCTTGGCCTGTTGAGTCAGAGATGGCATTTAGTTTCTCTGTTTTTCCTTCCTTAGCGTCAGGCCCAGCAAATGTAAGTGAAAGAAAAATGGTCAGTGATGTGAGGGGACAAAAATCTAATAGATGTGTGGGCACTTTTGAGAACTGTGGGCTCTTGAATATGATGTACATACGTCTGTGACAGCCAATACTGATATCTTTTGACTGTGAAAGTCTCAATCTTCATCTGTAAATGTCTAATATTTGCAGTAACAGTAGTAAGGAGCTGTACATGCACCCACACGGTTGCATGTATGAAACATTTTCTTGCTTTTGTTCCTGCTAAACCTAGCAGTGAAAAGTTTCATATGACACCATCCTCTTTCAGGAGAGAATAACGTTTATTAAACAAGCTTTTAGAAACTTTCTGAGGATTTGATGAGATGTACAGTAATTTCTTTAAACTTACTGAAGCACTAATGAGCACCACTTATCCTAATAACTCTCTCGCTCACTGTACCTCCACACACACAAACGCACGCACACAGTTTAATAGCTGCACATATACCAGAAATAGCACTTTAAGTTTCAACTAGCTTAAGGCCTCAAAACCTTTAAGGGACTGGTGTGTGTGTGTGTGTGCGTGTATACAGTACAAACTATAGCTATACTTGTGTGATTGTTTCAGAATTGTTTTAGGAGTCTGTATATCTTGTTTAGTGACGCATTAATGAGCATGATTTGTCCACTGCAAAAAATATAAATCTGGAAATTACCAATGTTCAAAATTGAATCACAATGTCTAAATTTCCTTAAAAGTTGTCAAATATTTGTCATTGAAATAATAATGTAGTTTTTCTTGTCTTCAAATGAGACAGAATGTTTTACTAGTATGAGTAAAATGCCATAAAATGCCAAAGAAGTTAAAAGATCTCATCACACTGGCATCTTTTCAATGTTAAAGACAAACTCTATAACCAGGGGTTTTTTCAGTGTATCATATGCACATTTGTGCCTGTTGGTATTTGCCAAAGACTAGCAGAGCACATGAACACATTACCCTGTGTTCACGTGTGCATTTATGCGCAAGTGTGTGTGTGTGTGTATGTGTGTGTGTGTACATGTCTCTGCCAAGTGGTGTGGGGGCTTTGGAGGCAGGGCGGGCCCATCGATCAGGCCGTGAGGGGGGCAGCCTGCAGCTCTCGCTCCAGCTGCCCACTGGGTGTGAAGGACACTGATGTGACAGCACTAATTACAGAGGCAGGAAGCCAGCGCTACAAACATTCACAGCAGCAGCTCAGCCGGGCTCTGTTGGTCTAAACTCATCCTCCACCAGCCACTTTACACCTCTCATCCCTCCGGGTTAGACTCTATTTCAAGTGTCATGCCAAAATGAGATATTATCTACACAGAGTGAAGTGAAAAGAAGCACTGCTTTGATTTACAAGATGTAGAAACCAGACAGACATTCTTGGAAATAACAGGGCAAACTTTCTAGTGAAACAGAAATCAAAAAGCCCCACAGCAACTCTAAATACTAAAACAGTATTTGAATAATTTAGTACAAACGAATTGCCTTTTCAGAACAGCAGTAGAAACAAATACAGTCGATTTGATTAGATTTTATGGTCTTACTTTTAACGCTGGACATTTATTTTTTAACCATAAACTCTTTCATTCAAATCCAAAGGTTAATTTTTTTGACTTGGAATTCATTTACCTTAACTGTAAGTGATGGGACAGATGTCTGTCGGTATAAACATTAATTGGACATTTGTTCTGTGATAGCAGATGTTTGTACCTTCTACTTTAGTAACAGACCTCACGTTGCTTTACGTGGTTCTATTAAAGCTTGGTGTAGATTTGTATAAAAGCAACCAGGCATCTTCATAGCTTACCTAACAATTGCGCTGTTGTTAATAATTTCTTTATTGTTATTTCTTTCATTTAAACCTGCATTCATAAATGTCATTGTTCACTCAGGAGCAGCACAACAAGCTGTAAACAAAACACATATCATCTTAAAAATTAATATGTTGTTTCATGGTTTCCTGACAATTGCTAATTTCAAAATTCACTCTTCTATTAGCTAGGGCTCCACAATATTGCTTAAAAAGCTCACATTGTTATTGTTTTGACAGATATTATGATTGTGATATGATCCATGATTAGTGGGAATGATCAATTTTGCATCACAATTTTAATTTTCACTGAATTTTTTTTTTTACATTTGTCTGTATCAAACATGTTTTCTTAGGAGGGCATTTTTTATCAAAAAATTGCAGATTCTGCGATTTCAATAATATTTCGATTAACTGTGCAGGCATAGTTTGAGCTCTGTTTTGGTCTCCACCAACCTAATGAAATAGGACTTTAGCTGCTGAATGCTACATTATGTCCACAAGATTGTTGGAATGTGAAAGATTGGTAGGATAAAATATCAATAATCAGCTTTAGGTTTGCCCATATGTGTATATATATATGTGTACTTATGGAAATAATAATCTCATACTGCACTTTAGTATGGTGGTTTGCCACGTAGTGGCTCATTTACCTGTAATACCTTTCACAAGATATTTGACATGTCGTAGCGATGAAGGCACAGGTTTAATACATTGTTAATAATGACTGCAGTCAGCAGCAAACAAGTATAACTGAAAGGGCACGACATGATACAGACCTCTGCAAAGGCCAATAGTTCAGTCTTCTATGATATGCAAATCTGTGCAACCATTATATACGTCTGTGTACCCACCCCATGATTTATGGGTTTTTCATTGGCCCTTGCTACACCATTCCACCGAGTTTCATTTTATTTTTATTTTATTCTCCCTTTATTTAACCAGATATGTCAACTGAGAACCAATTCTTATTGAAAAAATCCGACATGCATTTTTTTTTCTTTATACTGGTAACAGACAATCTGCACCAAAAATACAGCCTTATTGGTGGAGGTAATAACCTTTAGAATGACTGATATACACTTAATGCAACACTTACATCTGTGCCTTTGCTGACAAGACAAAAACTCAGCTGTGAAAAGGGTCTGTAGTTTGGTAATAAAATAACACCTAAACACCTAAATACTCAAAATGTTTAAAAGACTACAGTATGTATAATATGAAAAGGACAGCAGAGTTAGTTTGATGCTGGTAAAGAACTGAATAATGGACTTTTTCATTGGGCAGCCAGAAACACAAAATGCTTCAAATGAATGCTTATTTTCCTTTGTGCCTGTAGCCCTAACAACTTTGTAAGGTCAAACATGATAGGGCTGTGTGCCTGTTAGCTTGTTTGGAAGTGCATCCCCCTAGCAGGCAAAAATTGATTAATGCAGCTTTAAATATTTTAGGCTAACTTAAGGCCAGCCTACCAGAGTCACAGCATTTTTGAGTTTGTCCTTTGTCGACTTCTGATGCTTTTGTAGACACATTTGTACATGAAGAGTGGAAATAATGAAACAATTAACAGATTTAACAGAATGGAACTGGTTCCAAGTTGTTGGAAGCAGCCTGTGTCGCAGGCCTGGTTCACTTCACTGTCTCTCTTATGATAACTTGAGCAAGTTTCTCTTCCCATAGACACACAGGCAAACTCAAATTCCAAACTGCATCAAGCCTGCTGTAAACAATATGGTGAATGTATATAGGCTAACCTATGTATATAGGCTAACCTCTAACCTCTAAGAACAGGGTGGCCTTAAACATCACTGGTGGCGTTCAATGTATGAAGTGGTGCCACGTGCGATAAGTTAGCCTCACATTTGTTTTAATTAAGCACATTTCCATTGACTTGGCCTCACTTTTAATTATTTTCCCATTGA